ATCCCTCTTTTTAGGTTGGGTTGTTTTCTCTTAGTCAAAACGAGGAGCTTCCTCTAACAAGAAGGCCTCCTTCTGAAGCTCTTTAAAAAAAAACCCAACCAGGTTAGACTGTCGCTTCTCTCTTTTGTTTCTGCATCGGTCTCTCCTTGATCCAAAAGACAAGGAAAATAAGCTCAGACAGAGACGATTTTCATTTACCTCTAAACGTTCGTGTTGTACTGCTTTTGAACACAGCGGCGGTCCTAGTATAGCTGTCGAGCTTGTGAAGTATGGAAGAGTTATTTTTAAGCATCTGTCCTTTATTGGGGGAAGATGGGCTTTCAAATAAAGGACCCTTACCAAAACAGTGTTCCCTGGTTTCTTAGCATCCTGAAAAAATGGAGTTGGAAAAGGGGGGTTGTAAGAACCTGTGTTACAAATCTCAGTGTAGCCCTCACCAAAATAAATCCTCCCAGTTTTGAAAGCCTCCGGGATCTTAAAGAGGAGAGGAAGAGATTCACGCTTGTGCTTGAATGTGCTTCAGCTTAAGATGACCTATCCTTTTGAGTTAGTTTATCAGCACAGAAGATCGGGTTCCGGGACCGCTGGACAGCTCGCAAGAAAAACAACAGCGGAGATGAACTCCGGGGAAGCATTTTTTTAAAAGAGAAAAGGGGGTCCTTAAATTCAGAAGAAGGATGGCAAGTCCTCAGAGGTGATTTTTCTTATTTATTCATTTATTTAAAACCAGAGTGAAAGTTAAAAGAGATCCCAGTTCACCCCCACCCCCAAATTACAGGTTTTCTGGATGTCTCCCTCCAAAGTTCAACGCAGAATAAAATCGTACTTCTGCCCTTCTTTTCCTCCGAGGAGCTCAGGGGCGGGACTGCATCTGGTCATGAGCGCTGGACCTGCTTAGCTTCAGCGTCATCTGGATCTCCTGTTCACCCAGAACATGGATGCTTCAGGGGGAGGGGGTTAGTTTGCCTTAAGGCACAGCTAAAACTCAGCATCTTTCTCAGGTGCAAGGAGCCACTGCGCATTTGACGGCAGCCTTCTGAGCCAAGGATGCTCTGGGTATTTCATATCCCTGCTGTGTGGAGGGAAAAGAAATATGAGTCACTGTTTATACCGTAAAGAGCTAGAATCAGAAGAGGTGTGTTTCATTCTAAAGGAAAGTATAGTACCTCTTCTACGTAATGCAACAGAACGAAAACCTTCCTAAGCTTTAGAAGGTGTGATGGACAACTTTTGGCAGCCTACTAAAGTTATCGATAGGATGTGTGTCAGCCTTAACAGACCGTGATCCACATTTTGCTAGCCCTTGTGGGAAAAATCAGCGCCATTCCTGCTTTTGGATTACTAGACCTCATAGCCATCGTCACCAGGCCTCATAAGACTTCTGCAGATGTTGCTTGTAGGGGTTCCAAGCTCATCTTCAGTCTTATAAAAAAATTATCCAATCCCACTGTTTTTAGCCAACTCAGGACCACTCTGGGCAGCTAGGGGTTCCAAGCTCATCTTCAGTCATAAAAAAATTATCCAATCCCACTGTTTCCAGAATGAGTGTACTGGGGAAAAAGACCATTTGCTGGGTCAGCAAAAGGGACGCATGGGTATCTTGAGATATTTTAAGAAGAGTTCAAGATGAATCCCTTCTGCTGAGGTCCATGTCAGCTGTCATCCTTGGTCATTGCAAGAACTTGTAAAAGGCAGGGAAGAAAGTAGGTTGAAAAGGGATGCTAGAATTGAAATTTGGTGCGAGAATCCCAATTTTATTGCTTATGGCTCTGTCCACCTGATGTTAGACAGGGGCAACACCCCAAATAACACAAGATAGACGTGTGCATTTTGGACAAGCTCACCATGCTCAAGGACTGCAGATGGTTTGTAGACTTTGGCAAATAGTCTTGGGACCAAACCATAAAAATGGGTCACCACCAGGAAGAGATGTTGCCACTCACATGAAGTCTTCTAGGGATGAGTCATTTGTGTGTGCAAACCTCTACAAATGTGCACTGTATAGGATTGGTGCCAACATGTTGTGAGTCTCTCTGTGCTCTCCTGCTGCTGGTCCATGTAGAAAATCCAAAACATGACATTCCATTGCATGGCAAATATTTAATTAGTTTGAGAGGCAGAGCACTGGCCGTCTGGTTGTTCAGTTCCTAGAAACCTTGGCCAGTGAATGGGATTGTGGGCGACATCACCCACATATGGAGAATCAGAAGTCCCCAAGACCCCTGTGATAGATGTTGAAGCCAGGATACCCATGCTTTCCTGCCAGGTTGCCATTTTCAGCAGCACCTGCTAATGGCATGGCTATAATATGCGCTAGCGCAGATGCTACTATGAAAACAGACCCCCCCACCTTCCCCAAATCCACACCCTCCTCATGTGTTGGACTGTAATTCCAGTTCTTCTCATCCAACGCAGTTTGCCAGTTTTAGTCCAACATCTGGAGACTGCAAGATGGGATGCGTTTGCAATTCAAGGATGGACAATTTTAAGGGTGCAGGGCATTAACCTTGGTCCCCTCTCTGAGAGTTCCATTATTGTGCAGCTACAGATGCATCAGGCAGCTGCGCTCAAGGGATTAACCACGGTTAGCACTAACCAGGATAGCACTAACCAGGATTTCCTCCAATGCCACGGCTGGAAACTAGTTACAAACCTTGGTTAGGAACGAAATGGGCCTTTTAAACACCTACATCCCACCCAAACAGTTGCCATTCATGCATGTTTATTAATGGGTGTTACTTATTAGCTGCAGAGACCAATTCCATGGGGACCAGTCAGTCTGCATGGGATGGAGAGCAGAGGGGGGTGGTGGTTTTGGTATCTCTAGACACCAAACTTGATGTGTCGTAAGCATGAACACCCAGCCTAAACCGGTTTCTATTCACACCGCTGGATAGCTAGGTGGTTTATGTCTTTGGCTGCGGAGCCAGAGGTTGGGAGTTCGATTCCCCCCACTGGGCCTCCTTGACAAGGGCTGGACTTGATGATCTATAGGATCCCTTCCAGCTCTGCCATTCTAAGTTGATCAGCAGCAACAATATATGGTGGTTCAGAGTAAGAGGAAGGCAGGTCTCCTGAGTTTCTAGTATAAAACACTATGCAGGTAGAAATTTAAAGTGTGCTTCACATTGAGTTAGGGCCTACCACCTGTCCCTAATCAGAGTGATGACAACGTAAAAATACATTTTGCTTCTTCCTTGGGTTCCTCCCCCCAACCTTTCAGCAGTGTGGCTCCCCAAGATCCCAAGTCCTTCTGTATTGCATGGGACTTGCACCCTAGCAGATGCATTAATGATTGCAGGCTTGCTTATCTCAGGATGGGATGGTGTTGTAAAGGGACTGGTATAAGTTAATTTCACCGTTGACCTTCAGGTCCTTTCAAGTTCTACTGAACCCAGTGCTCCCAAGGATGTGTGGCTGCATATATCATCGGATGAACCCATGGACCCAAATCCTGTTGTTTAGTGTAGTAAATTAAACTCGAGTAGGCCCATTGAATCAATGGGCAGTTGAGGAATCAACCCCTCCATAGCTTCCATTGATTCAAATGGATTGATTCTAATGGTGACCTACTTGAGCCTCGTTATCTCACCATTAGAGTAGACCTGTTTGAATCAATGGAACGTGCAAAAGACTTGACTCGTTAAATCCTCATAGATTCAACGGGCCTACCTTAGTCCAAGCTGCTCGGCTGAGCAACAGGAATTTAGCTGTGCAGTTGTGTGATTCTGTGAGTTACGCAAGGAGTAGCCGTATTAGTCTGTGCAAGCATTATAGGTGAAAACTAAATCAAAATGACAAAATTGCGGCGGCACGTTATGATGAAGTGGGTACATTAAAAAAATACACCAGTCTTTAAGGTGACACATTTTGGTCTCTTTTTCCCCCACCTTTTTATTTTTATTTTGTTCTCGCTGAAATAAGCGTGTGCTTCCGATTCAGTCGATTCAATGGGACCACTTCTTTCTGACTAAGAGTTGGGTTTCATACGTAACACATCTGGAATCGCCCATTTCGAGAAGGTGGAACATTTTAGAAAACTTTCTGTTGGCTAAAAAGATGTTCAGCTGGGCAGTAGATTATTATTATTTTTAAATGCCAAATAATTGTAAGTTCTAGCAGCTACAGATCCTGGCAGTGATAGACTGTTCAAAAAAGGTTTTTCCCTTTTCTTTCCTGCTCCCTGTCTCTTTTTAAGAGAATCCCTGCATTGAGAGACCTTTGTTTTAGAACGATGGTGGTGTTCATTCACCAATTTGCCAGTCAGTTCATAGGCCCTTCCTTTACTCAGCTACCACTTATACCATGAATGGATTTCGGAATAAGACAAGGCACTGTTCTTTATGAGGAGCACAGTGGTGCCTCGCTAGACAATGATAATCTGTTCCACCAAAATCCCTGTTTAGCGAAATCATTGTCTAGCGAAAAGCATTTCCCCATTGGAATGCATTGAAACCTGTTTAATGCATTGCAACAGGGAAGAATCGTCGTTGTCTAGCGAAGATCGGCCATAGGAAAGCCACTTTGCGAACCGCTGATCAGCTGTTTAAATTGCTGTCTTGTGAAGCTTAGGTCCTGAAAACACTGTTTTGCGAGCGCGGAGGGAGCTGTCAAAATCGTCGTCTAGTGAAAATCGGTTTGCGAACCAGGGACCAAACATTGTCCAGCGAAATTCCCCCATAGGAATCACAGTTTTGTGAATCACTATAGCGATTGCAAAAAGTCAATGTCTAGCGACAAAACTGTCATGTGGGGTAACTGTCTAGCGAGCACCACTGTACAAGGTTCTCTGTGTCTCTAAAGAGGAGTTTGAGCTTGCAAGGGAAAGAAAATCTTGTAGGGTGAGGTCTACTCAGGGTAAGGTATTCATTTCTGGTTTTGTTTAAGCCTGTGGGTTTTCCCTCCCTGGGCAATCTGTTCTCCCCCCTCCCCCCAAAAAAGGCCAATGAAACAATAGCAGCTCTTTGCCTTCTACGTTCCTTAACTCTGGTCCACCTCAGCTATACCCAGAACGGGATTTTGCATATGCTGGACAGAAACAAGCGGATCAAGCCGCGGCCGGAAAGATTCCAGAACTGCAAAGATGTGTTTGACCTCATCTTGACGTGTGAAGAAAGAGTCTACGACCAAGTTGTAGAAGGTAAGGGCAGCTGTGGGGCAGGTGGGGCTGCCACGGGCTTTGGGGATGAGCCAGATCTTGAGAAACCAGCAATCCTTTTCCTCTTCTCTTGGACCCACTGCACCTCCCATGATCCCTTGTCACTGCTATACTAGCTTGCATGATGGGAATTGTAGTCAAGCAATTCCCAGAGTGCCCTCATTTTATACCTTGTTAAGAGTTTGTGTGGTGCTGGCTGGATAGCTCAGTGAGTTAGGTCTCTGACTCCAGAGCCAGAGGTTGGGAGTTTGATTTCCCCCCACTGTGCATTCCAAAAAAAACCAGCCTGGGTAGCCTTAGCCAAGCTGCGCAGTCCCAGGTCACCCCCTGGAGGAAGGGAAGGGTAAAACGCTTCTGAGTCTTCTCTACATGATAAGGGTTGCTGTAAGTCAATTGACTGACAGCATACAATTATTATATCATTTGTTTATGGAGGCAGGCCAATGCAACAGGTTCTAGAAGTGTAATAAATATAAGGCTGAGCTTGTGTGCCTGTTAGAGGCTCTGTAGGAGAGATCCTTACTCCCTCCCCCAAGTTGCCAGATGTGGTTTGGATCAAAACCCCGCAGGATGTGGTTTCAAACGTACTGTTCAACTGCCAGCAGATCTTTGCTTTTAAACACTCAACAGCTCTGGCCCCTGGTGCTTAACAGCTGCAAGGATCACCCTGGCAGTGTGTAGGATGTATCTTATCAAATTTTAGCAGCTGGGAGAGTTGCCATCTCATAGTACTAGCCAAGCTCTTTCCTTAGTACAGAGATTTTGCACTTATCCTCTTCCTCCCAGGCTAGCCAGCGGCTGCTTAAATTCTTCCAGCCAAGGAGAGCACACTACCTCCAGAGTAGACATGCCCAAAGTTACTTGTTCCCTGGTGTAGAATCCTTTCATGGGTCTCTGCTCCAACAGCTTGCAGGACGAGCTTTTCCATGGCGGACGGAGATAGTTGGCTGTTGATGGAGGACCACTGTGGGGAAAACCTTTTCTTTGCAGTGTGTGCAGCTGAACTGAACTGTGGAATTTTCTGTCCTGAAAACCTTAGCTTATAATAAGGAAACAGATACACTGGCTGCTCCTGTGGTGAAAGAATTATGGAATTTTTAAGCGGGGCCCACGTCCCTTGACCTGGCTTTGATCTCCAGGGGAGATGGATGTAGTAACACTCAACCCCAGTTAACGGAGTTTGCATCCCAGTTAATCCTACCCTACGGTGTAGGAATTACAACCACCTATTTGACCACCCGGGATCCATATATATGACTTAGGGTGATGGGCAGTATTAACATTTCTGGCCTGTTGGGGGCAGCGTAGAGAAGCCCTTTAGAACAGCACTCTTCAAAATGGCTCGTGCCCGAAATCTAGAGAGCACCCGAATCTAGAGCTGACCCTGCCTTTGAGTGTTATGAAAATAACAGCTAATACCTCCTGGCCCAACTCACTTTTTTTAAAAAAAAATGCAGTTTAAAAAGCTGTTTGGTTTGCTTCCCCTCGCATCATGTTGCCATTCCCTTATGTTGTTTCAGATTTGAACTCTAGGGAACAGGAGACGTGTCAGCCTGTACATGTAATAAACGTGGACATCCAGGATAACCATGAAGAGGCGACGTTGGGGGCGTTCCTTATCTGTGAACTATGTCAGTGTGTAAGTAGAAGAACCTCTTCTGTCTGTTTGTCTCTTTGGGTATTCATCTGTCTGTCTCCCTTTATCCATCTGTCCATCTATCCATCAACTTTATGTAATCTGATTTATCTATTTGCCTAGCCATCTCTCCATTTATCTCTGCTTCTGTCTCTGTCCCTCCATATATCCAGTCTGTCTGTCTGTTTTTCTATTCATCTGTACATCTGTCCACCTATTATCCATCCATCCATCCATCCATCCATCTGTCTCTCTCTGTCTATCTAGCAGTACTGCAGGGTGTTGGACAGTATTAACATTTCTGGCCTGTTGGGGGCAGTGTAGAGAAGCCACTAACTGTGCCATTAACAGAAGATAACCATTCCTCCAAGCCGTTTGGGCATATCTGGGACGAACAGATTTATTTCGGTGTGAGCTTTTGAGGATTGCAGTCCACTTTCCCCCTCGCTCCATGTTGTCACATGTGCCGTCAATCACTTTCAAGGGTCCCAGCCCTCCCCCCTGCCCGCCTTGAGTGTGATTTTTACTGATCAGCTCATGGCTCTGTGCCCTGTTGATGTTTGGGGCAGGTAGGAAACCGTCCGGGGGAGTGCCCTCCATGTTGCCCCCAAGCCCCAGGAACGTATTATCAGTAAGCAATAATAACAGCTTTTTTTTCCTCTCTTGTGTTTTGCCTCAAGATACAACATACAGAAGATATGGAAAATGAAATAGATGAGCTATTGCAGGAATTTGAAGAGAAAAGTGGGAGGACTTTCCTGCATACGGTCTGCTTTTATTGAAGAAAAAAAAAGAAGAAGCATTCCCTGCTCTTTTTCCTAAGCCTTACCTGCAGACAGAAGAAAAGAAGCATGTATCGATTCCGAAGACTCTACGGGAGAGCAAACTTGACAGCCTTCTTCATTCTTGCTGTTTAATTTTTCCCATCATATATATATTTTTTAAATTTTTCAAGGGGTTTGGAAGGGGAAGGAAGGGGATGTTTTCTGTTCCGAAACTCAGAACTATGAACTTTTGCTCATTAAAAGAAAAGACATTCTAGAGACGAAGCTGCTTTATTTAAGAGATTAAGAATAATCAAGATTTTTTTTCTTAATCCCCTTTCCCACCCAGCTCTGTTTCCGATGCCCTACTTGAATTCTTGTCTTGTAGGGTTTTAATTATAAAGAGAGTTATTTCCGAGAGGGTATCATTTATATTTTCCAGTGTAAAGATCTTATCTGTGGGACTGTTTTTGTTTTTTTATTTTGTTTTTTTGGGGGTAGGGGAGAGACTTTGTTTTAATGGAACAAAACTGAACGGCTGGGATATACAAAGGTATGAGTGAGTATCTGTATAATATTAGGAAGGAAATTGGAAAATCTCTAATAAATTTAAATGGCTCAGTTCCTGTCTTGCTGCTTTGATTATGAATTGTATTGATTCATGCATTTGGTGCATTGTTGTGATCCTTGCTGTAGCTGGCGTTTAACATCCATCTCACTGGGTTGCTTTGATGAATGTAAATTATGTGTTGCACATGGGGTTTTCGGATTTCTTGGACTGCTGATCCCATGAGTCACCATTTTGGGAGTTTTGCTTGATGGACGGAACCTAAGCAGAATCTGACCAACTCAGCCTAGCTCCACTTAGCTTCCTCTTCAGAAAGAAAACTCCCAGCTAGCACTGGGGCAGGAACAGGAAGCTTGGCTAGAGCTAGGCCTAGCTGGGTCTCAGAGCCTTCCGATTTAGGCCTAGTCTCCCAGGTGAGTCACACTTAGGTGCCTGTAACATCTTTGTCCAATAGAACTCTCAACAGACATTTTAAAAATAAAGACAAAAACCTTATGGCACCGTAAAGACTATTATGTTTGAACATGAGCTTTTGTGGATCAAGTCCACTTCCTTCAGACATACGGAATAAAATAAAACTGCAGAGTTCACAAGGAAAACATTTAAAACCCAGACTCTGAAAGCTAATTCATGTTTTGAAAGTTTTCCTTGTGAACTCTGTATTGTATTTTACTCTGTATGTCTGAGGGAAGTGGCTTTGATCCACAAAAGTTCACTGTTATAATATAATAGTTAGACTTTTAAGGTGCCACAAGATTTTTATTTTTTTAGTGTTCTTTTATTTATTTATTTTCTCCCTTGAGTTTTGCCTGATATTTCCTGTTTCTGAGGCTTAAAAGTAAACCAAACAACTTGTCACTAATGTGTTGGTGTCGTTTTAAAGAGCAGCAGCTGTTCTAAAATCTGACAAACATGTTTTCAGAAATGTTTCCCAGCATGGCTGTCCATAGGGTCTGTGCTTATGTCCTGTTCCTGAAAATAACACCCCTTTCCTCAGTTTCCCTTGATCCTTCCTCTATGACTCCCTCAAAAGTCTGAAGTTTCCATTCTTGGGCCTTCATAGCTGGTTGCCATGAGGACAGTGGGTCATGGTAAGACTGAAATTAGCTGAAGTTTCTTCATTTTGTTTTTGTGCTTTTAAAAAAGGAAGTCATTTTCTAAAGATGTCCCATCGTTTGGTTTTGCTTTCTACCAGCCTGCTTGTCAACAACAGCTGGATCATGGAGATGGTAGATTTTTTTTCCCCTCCCTCAGGCATTGTTATGTCTCCATGCCAGGCAAACATTTGCCATCTTTCTGGACTCCTGCTAAGGTCAATAAGATATCTGGCTCAAAAAGACCATTCATGATTTTAATATGATGCTGTATTCTTCCAAAATGCAGAATGGAAAGAGCAACAACCCAAACAAACATAATCTAATTCTCCCTCTCTTTTTCCAAAATTACATTAGATTTTGCCTGCAGTGGTTTTGAAATAGGGCAGCCAGGAAAATAGGCGGAGCCTGGAAGCAAAAGGGCGGTGCCTTGTGGATCAGGGTGGAGCCTGAGGCAGGGGGTGGAGCCTAGTGGTACCAGATGGGAGAAAGGGCAGTATCTTGCTGTTCGGATGTTGTGGATCTAACTGATTCATAGGTGAAACTGGAGAGCAAAGGATCTCAATTAAAGCCCCCCCCCAAGAAGCATCCAGCTTTTCTCAATCTGAAACATTCATTGATTATTTGGAAGAGACCGTGTGTAAAGCTAAAGCTTTTTAGCTTTCAAACCCACTAAGCTGTCCTATTTCAGCCCGAAGGAAAAATAAACCGATGCAAACAAAGGCATTCCCCAGCAAGGAAACGGCTTTGGGTTAAAACGTAGCTGAGCCACAGCCAGTGAACCTGGAAGTCCATTTTCTGTTGGCCAGATCCTCTGGAAGCCAACTGGACTACCAACACCCCCCACCCCCAAATTGGCTGGAAGCCCATGTCTGATTTTGAAAAATGAGCGTTGTATGTGTTTAAACACTGCAGGAAACCTCTGTGACCTCTTTATAGGGTGCTTCATTAGTCTTGCAGGCTTCCAGGAGCTCCAGAATGCCTGGTTTTGATGTGGGAAATCATTAATTGTTTGTTTGTTCTTTAAATATGGCAGTAATGGGGTTGTGAAATCAAATTGGGGGGGGTCCTTAACCATAACTGTGCCCATCACTGGTTTTGAAGCAAAATGTTATGGTTGCAACTCAGCTCCACAAAGCGAGGAAATTCAGACTCCCAAATAATAACAGTATCACTCAGAAACAGACAGAAGAGAACAACTTTGCTGCCAGTCAATGATGAAAAACCCACTTGAATAAAAAGGTCTGTGCATGCCAAATTTTAACTATTTCTCACTATGACCTCAGGTTGAGGTCTGCCTGCTGTTATCTACCTCTTAACTCTTCTCTGAATGATAGACTCCCAGGTGGTATTCCAAAATTGTCTTTGGTTACAAATTTCCGGGCATGACCTCAAATTAGTGATAGAGCTGGTATTGATGAACCATAGGGCAAACCCCAAGTTAGGGTGTGCTGAATTCGTTCCATGATCCAGCTCTTGAGTTGACTGAGTAAGATGATGAAATGTCCCATGTTTGCTCAACGTCAACGAGAAACTTGCCCCCATGTTACTTCTGGGCAGGCCCCACGTTCTTGCAAATAACGTTGAGTAAAAGGTCAAAACTAGACAATACAGTTATAATTTTGCCATGAATGGTGCCATCTGAGGTTATGCACTGTCTTAACCGTGGGGACGTTTCAAGGTTGGACGTCCCATCCATGCCAACAAACAGCTTTCAAGATGAATTTGACCGTGGCAGAGATGGGTTGAAAGTGATGAGCTTTCTAGATTCATTAGAAGAACATGGCAACCCTCCATCAACTTAATGGATTATGTGCGGGGAAGGAAGGGAAGAAGCACGTGCTTGGGTGTCCATCATTTTGGGGGCTAAGAATCAGACCTTGCTTTCAGAAACTGGAAACTGTACGTCCTTTTGCACAAGTCCCATGCTGAGATTTCGGTGGCCTGGACAGCTGTTTTGTGAAAGGGATTCCAAGGAGAAGAGGGGCATTGGATGTAAAAAAAAAAAAGCATTGTATACAGCGCTATTCTGCTAGAGCGTCATTGGGTGGTGGGAGGGAACGAGCTTGCTTTCTGTACCTCCAGAAGGGTAGGAAGGAAACCCAAACAGTAAGAGCTGTTTTATGATGGATCAGGTAAGAACAGGGTGGGATGAAATCACGAGAAAGTTGCGCGTCGGATCACACCAGAGAAGTTGGCACTGATGTGAGCGATCTCCTTTAAAGCCACCCGTCCACCCACTGGGGAACCGTCTCCAGGTCAGCCCCCCCAAAGTAGGAGCCCTGCTTCTGGATCCCAAAAACATCCAGCTTGGGCATGGATGGGGGCTGGGTTAGAGCACGTCTCCATGTGCGTTGTGTGATCACCAGGAAGTACATGGCACTGGACTGCTCCAGATGCCTTCCAAACTACGAGCTCCTTTCCACTGTGGTCACACCTTCAGAATGAAGCAGATTCTCCACCACCAGAGGCCCCTTAACAGGTTGGACAGCCATGTATTAAGGACGCTTTACCTGTGTGTCACCTGCTTGGGCAGGTGGTTGGATTCGAAGACCCTTAGGGTGATCCAATGTAGCACCAGTTCAGGACACAGAACCCTTTGCATCCAGCCAGTTAACTTTGGCACAGGATGGGAAGGAAGGGAAGACGGATTCCCATCTCCCTGGATAGCTCAATGGCATAGGTCTCCGGTCGCAGAGCCAGAAGTTAGGAGTTTGATTCCCCCACTGAGCCTCCTTGACAGGGGTCAGACTGGATGACCCAGAGGGTCCCTTCCGGCTCTGCTGTTCTGGTGATCCTTAAAGCCGCTTCGCCCTGATTTGTCCCTCTGCCTGGTGACCTAGAGACCATATCATTCATTTATCTCTTTGTTTGTGGTGTATATATTTAAAGGGCCCCCACATAATCTTGAGCTGGTTACCCAAAGGAGGACGAAGGGAAGCATGGATTCAGGATAGGATGGGGCCTGCTTCTTAGCACCTTGCTGGAGCCCCCTGCTGCCGTCCCCCCCAGGATCTGCCGCCTGAGCCACCTGCCTCACAGATTTTAATTATTTTAATTATTTCTAATTGCTCTACAATGGGATGCGTCTTTAGACCGAAACGTCATGGCGGAGGGGTTTCCCCCAGGAAGTGGAGGAAGGAAACACCCACAGCTTACGCCATGGTCAATAAAATAAATGACAATAAGACAAAACTCCTTCCACCATCTTTCAATTTTTCCTGCTTCCTTGAGAGTAACCCCCTCACCAAAATTCACAAAAGGGCCTGATTCATCTAGTGGAGGTGTGGGTGACTCCCATTTATCCCGGGGTGACAAAGATGTGCCAAGATTTTGCCAAACTTGTGCGAAGCCGCTTGATTCATCTGAACAGGACAGTCACCCTAAGAAGATGGGGGTCTGGGCTCTCCCTAGAAATCGGCCGAGGGCCGCCTTGCAAGCAGTAGCTTCTCTCTCTCTCTCTGATCAGGATGGGACCCTATGGAGGGAGAAATGGGTCAGGTGCCAGGTTAAAAAGCTAGTGTAGGTCCGTGTGTAAGCTTTGTGTGCAACTTGATGCTCCTCTAACTCCGAACTTCTGTAATGATGATGCCTCTCCTGAGAAGCGGATGGAGAAAAAGGTCAATAAGACACCCTCCCTACCATCAGAAAGATGGGGGGCCCCTCATTCCACCCCAGATAAGAAGCAAAAGTGTCCTTTAAAAAAAAGAAGAAAGTTACATCTCCTTCCCCAAGAGTGGGCTGGTCACTCACGACCGTCTCTTAAGTGGCCTTCATCCGGGGGTGGGGGGGTGAGTCCTCCCTGGGGACTTCCAGGGGAAGGGGTGAAGTTTTTTGGGGGGGGGCTCCTCCGAGCCAAGGAAAGCTGAGCCCCAGAGAGAGAGAGAGAGAGAGAGAGAGAATCACCACCAAATAGGATCCAAAGAGAAGATCATCACCAAACTGGATCCAGAGGGGGGAAAAAATCCTCACCAAATTAGATCAAGCACCATTTTGATTACAGAGAAAGACAGAGAGGGGGGGGGTTTAAAATCCTAGCTTCTCTCTCTCCCCCCCATCCCTCGCGCACCTCTTTGCCTGGAGAGGATCAGAGAGAAAAAAGGAGGCTGTCAGCACCCAGAAAGAACCCGCAGCCTTGCTGCTCCCTCTTTCTCCCCCCCCATCATCATCATCATCACCACCACCACCAAGGAAGGCGCCTCTTAAGATGGAGCTGTGCCGCCGCTACCGCTGTCTGAAATAGGTAAGAGGCGTTTTCTCTCTCTCTCTCTCCCCCCTCTATGCCAGGAGGGGTGGGATGGGGGGGGTGCCCAGACCTCAAAGAGAGGGAGGGAGAG